CATCTCCCCACATCTCCCACATCTCCCCACATCTCCCCACATGATTGGGAGGCAGGGCGCCGCAATCTCGCGCATGCAGGAGGGCTATCTCCCCACATCTCCCCACATCTCCCCACATCTCCCCACATCTCCCCACATCTCCCCACATCTCCCCACATGATTGGGAGGCAGGGCGCCGCAATCTCGCGCATGCAGGAGGGCTATCTCCCCACATCTCCCCACATCTCCCCACATCTCCCCACATCTCCCCACATCTCCCCACATCTCCCCACATCTCCCCACATCTCCCCACATGATTGGGAGGCAGGGCGCCGCAATCTCGCGCATGCAGGAGGGCCATCTCCCCACATCTCCCCACATCTCCCCACATCTCCCCACATCTCCCCACATGATTGGGAGGCAGGGCGCCGCAATCTCGCGCATGCAGGAGGGCTATCTCCCCACATCTCCCCACATCTCCCCACATCTCCCCACATCTCCCCACATGATTGGGAGGCAGGGCGCCGCAATCTCGCGCATGCAGGAGGGTTGCTGCGAGAGTAGCGCAGCCCGCGCCCCCTCCCCTCCCTCCGTGCCTCTACGCCACTCTGGCGCGCACACACACGCAGGAGGACTCTGGCGCGTCGATCAACATCTCAAAGCCGCAGCCCGGCGACGCGAGCCAGCGGATCGACATCTGCGCGAGCAGCGCCGCGGCGGCCGACGAGGCGGTCACCTGGATCGCGACGCGGCTGACGGACTTGCGCGGCGTGCGGGATGCGCAGGAGCGAGCGCGGCCACAGAAGCAGAAGACGCGTACTCTTGTCTCCCACCCCGCGCTGGAGACGACTCTCGCACTCCGCGGCGTTCGGCCGTCTTCAGCCGTATTCGCTGCAGTCGCACCCCTCGTACTCACGCGGTGCTCTGAAGACACTGCACAACACCGTCTTCCCGCCCCGAGGCTGGCGTATTCAGCGCGCGATGCTCGACCAGCTTCTCCCACATCTCCCCCACATCTGCCCCACATCGCCCCCATCTCCTCATAACCCCCC